CCCCTGTTCTGAGAGCAGAGCTCACTGGGTCTAGCAAGACATCACTAACCTGTTCAGGTGAGTGCTGCCTCCACTGCCCACTAGGCCTCACCACCTCCCAACCTCAAATTCTAAAACACGAGCTTTGGGGGACACGTCATCATGAAACCATAACAGAGAGCCTCAGCACCGCGTACAAAAACTAACTCAAACTAGACTTAAGGACCTTGTTATCAGTGCACACAAGTAGACGGTGCTGCTTAGCTGAGGCCACATATGATGAGGGCTGGGTTCGACTCTCAGCCTACCCTAAAAAGCACATGGCCGGGGGACCAGCAGATGGCTTAATGGTTATGTCACTGGACTCCCACATAGTCAACCATGGTTCAAGTCCTGGACCTGGAGGCTTAAATCTCATGCTGGGCACATGTGCATGCATGCTCAAAATCCTGAGAGGAGAATGGAAGAGAACGAAGGAGAAGGGACTGTGGTATGACCATACTCCCAAGGGGTGATTTCTCTCTCTCTCTCCAGCGAGTACACACACCTAATAACAAAAATCTCTCTCAATAAAGAAAGCACATGGTCTGAAGTCCCCCGGCTACTTGGGTGGCTGAGATCAGCAGATTCGGAGCCAGCACGAGCAGCATAGCAAGGTCCTGGCTGAAAGAGCCAGGCCAAGGAGCACACAGCTATGTGGGGGTCTGAGGCAAGAGAACGACAGCACGGTTTTTGGACCTTGTCTTAAAAATTGGGGCCAGCTGGTGGCACGGTGGTTAAGGTGCTGGACTCCCACATGGTCAACCATGGTTCGAGTCCTGGACCTAGTAGTTCACTTCCTCTCTCTCTTTCTCGCTGGTCAAATAAAAATAATAAATGAATGAATAAATAAGATGAAACAATAATTCTTTTTAAAAAATCACCAACACACAACAGCAGCAACGAAAATCAAAGACATAAACATAAGACCAAATACTCAAAACCTCTTAGAAGAAAGCCTAAGACTAAAGCCTCATGACACTGGATTCAGCAGTGATTTCTCGGATGCGACATCAAAGGCACAGACGACAGGATAAAAAAAGAACAGACTTCATAAAAATTTTAAAATTTTGTGCATCAAAATACACTATCAGGGCTGGTCCCATGGCACAGCAGTTAGCGTGCTGCACAGAGGAAGAGAGATCCCTTGTGGCCAGCTGAGGTCTGAGCCCTGGCCCAGGGTGGCTTCATAGGACGCATGCGTATGTGCCTAGGGGACCTGGAGACAGAACTGCAGCAAGACCAGACCTGGTTGGGAGTATCTCTCTCTCTCTCTCTCTGTATCTCTGTATCTCTCTCTCTTGCTCCCTCTGTAATTTAAAGTAAATAAATAAACAAAATAAAGACAAGACACTGGGGCCAACCAGTGGCATGGTGGTTAAGGCAGCTGGATTTCACATGGATGACTGCAAGGTACAAGTCCCAGACCCAGTGACCTGAAAAATACACCAGCCATGTGGGTGCCCAAAATCCTGAAAAGAGAATGGAGGAGAAGGAATTACGACACGGCCATATCCCCTGGGGGGGTGCTTTCTTACTTTCTTTCTTTTTTTTTTTCCTTTGGAGAGGTTTTTTCCTATAGGGCACGTGCGCTCGCCAGACA